CCCCCCCCAATCCTCTTCAGTAAGTCGCTTGTGATTGCTCTTTTCCCCTTCGGATTCGTTTTTAGAGAGCGGATACTTTATTTGGTCACTGCAGGACCCCTGTTCCGTTTGTGTTACAGTAAACCTACCAAAATTGTTGGATGAAACCTAATTCCGACGTCATGACGTCATCTCCCAACGCCGTCAACCCAAGTGCGTTCCCCTTTGCTTTCATTTCCTCAAAGCGGGGGAGGTCACGTAATGTAAATTCTTCCCCTTTGAAGGAAATCATTGTGTTCTCCTCTGCGTGGTAGTCAGGCTGAGGACAGTCTGACACATCGAAGCGAGGGGTTACCGACAAGGCGTTAAAAGGTAATTATTGAAGAATGTTTTAGAGAAACAAACCTGTAGCATATAGCAAACATGCTAGCGTAGTTAGCAAACGGTCGAAGCTAAGGCTTTTAAGTGCAGTTTATGAGCATAGTTTTACACACGAAGACCAACGGTCAAAGTCCACTACTGACCAGTTGTTGACGCACACAATAGATGTGCATTGTTTTATACTGTGATGCTGCTATGTTTCAGCTATGCAATAGCTTTAAAATACACTGTCAGCAGCGAGTCTGTAGTCAGTTTGCGTCGGTAATTTTATTATGACGCTGTACTTAAACAAGTTTCTGGAGTTAGAAAAAAAATGTAAGTCGTTGGAATCCTTTTGGGGTTGTTTGTTTGTACTCAGTATTGGTTGACTTATACTGCATTGTAAAAAAAAAAAACCCCAACAGGGATTCAGTTTTTTTCCACTTTTGAGGGAGGCTGCTGGTTAGGAAGTCAGATAAGCGTCAAGTGAACCGGAGGCAGATTCCGCCCTCTTCATGTACACGGCAAAGCATTCCTGGGAGGGCTGGCTGATTACATTAAAACAAAAAGGAGAGAAACTTGTTGCGTAAGGTAGTTTCAAGCCAATCCCGTCATTAAAGGCAGCGCAACGCCCCGTAGATAACCTTACGTCCACATGGGAGAACAGTGCGTGATCAGGACTGATGTGTTGCGATTACTGAATGAGTAATCATGCTATGTGATTCAAACTATTCATGAGGGCAAATCACGAGAAAAACTATATATATATGTGACAGTAAAATTGTGACCCAAGTCATTCCTGCATGATGTGCTGGAGCAGAACTTTACATTTCCTGAAGCACATGGGTTTCATTTAATGACATCTGCAAAGTCTTTTGTCTGTGATAATATATCTTAGGTCTGGTATAATATAAATTATATGTTTAACCTTTGCCTGCCTGTAAATCTTCCATGTGGGCAAGTTGATATCTGCTTTGGAAAACGGTGTTAGGTGTCACCCTTTGCTTTAGTGCCCATTGAAATGCTCTGTGTGCTACGCCCATCCCTTTCATGGATTGTTGGCAGGCTGGCTCTCTTAAAGCTATTGCAGTGGATTAGCTCTCTGGTGCAAATAGTCCAACAAAAAACAAAAGCGGTTAATCACGTGTCTGTTTTTTTTCTTCCTTAAAAGCTAATACCTTTTTCTCTTTCTATATCTTCCATCTGCAGAACGTTTTTGTTTATCAAATAAATCCACCAGCAGTTTCCCAGGTCAAAAGATGGGTGATCACATACTAGACGATAATCTGGAAAGTGACAACCTTGCAGACTTTACGCGGATGAACAGTCGCCTGGACTCATTCCGGGGTTCCATCCTGGCTCAGCAGGTGTCAGCAGAACGACTGGCCCGGGCCGGCTTTTATTTCACCGGCCAAGCGGACCGTGTGCGCTGTTTCAGCTGCCAGAAAACGGTGGAAAACTGGTGCAGGGAGGACACACCTGTAGAACGACACATGGAGGTATTTATGTGAGAGTAATTTGTTGTTAAAAGTCTTCAGTGTGTCGGTTCTGCTTATTTTCTAAAGGACTAACTTGCATGTTTCACTTTGGTTCAGGTTTCCCCTAATTGCAAGTTTCTCAGCTGCACCCACCACAGCGGTTATAACCCAAGTCCTCTAACTAATGGCGCCATCTACAACGAAGAAGCAGAAGACATGGAATATCGTTTGAGAACAGGGTCAATTGTCGATGAGACCCCTTATCCTCGGTTTCCTCACATGAGAAGTGAGGAGGCCCGCCTTCAGACCTTCTCCTCGTGGCCTCCGACGGCCCCCGTGAGACCGCAGGACCTGGTCCAAGCGGGTCTCTTCTACATGGGAGAGGGCGACCAGGTCCAGTGTTTCTGCTGTGGCGGCATGCTGAACAACTGGGAGCCGGGGGACGATGCTTGGGGAGAGCACGCCAAGTACTGCGTAACGTGCTTCTTCATCTTGGGACACGACGTGGGCAACGTGCCGCTTCCAGGAGGAGCTGACGAGGAGCTGAACCGCAGCGGGGAGCACTCAAGTGCTCATGTTCACATGGGGAGTTTTGAGGAGAGGCTAGCTAGCTTTGCATGTGGTCAGCACCCCATTGACCATGAGAGCCTTGCCAGAGCTGGCTTCTACAGCATAGGTAAAGCACAGGTGTTTGACTAGGAGGCATTCTGTCCAACATCTCAGCCATGTTTCGTTGTCCTGGTCTTCATGATGCTTTATCTGCAGGTTCCGGGGACAAGGTGTCCTGTTTCTCCTGTGGTGGAGGGTTGAAAGGCTGGCAGCCTGAGGAGGACCCTTGGGAAGAACATGCAAAACACTATCCGGGGTGAGAACAGCCATCCATCTTTTTCTGTACACGCATGCGTCACAGCCACACGTGTTCTCGTCGCTGTGGCATTTTGATTTGACACATTGTGTTTTTTTTTATCCAGATGCCGCTTCCTGCTGGCAGAAAAGGGGCCAGCATTTGTCAACAGCATCCAGTTGCAGGGACGGCCCCAAAACGCTGCTGTGAGCATCTTTCTGTGTTTTACTTCTGATTGTTTGACAAGGCGTGATCAACGCCAGAGTGAAAGTAGTCTCAACTTTAACAGGAAAACGTTTAATTACTTTCCTGAGGCACTGGATACATTATTAAGAGAAGCTTGTTCTGTACCATTTTAAAATTCTATCGGGCTCGTTTTTCAGCTGCACAAAATAAGTCTAAAACCATCTTCACTTCCAGGCTCCCAGTCATCAGAATGGATTTTCAAGCCATGAGAATGGTGAATATTTACTTATTGCTCTATATTAGACAGTGTGAATCATTAAAAAACTCCCCCTTCCCTAAAGATGAGATTAAGTATAGACTGTTCAGAAATAACATGTATCCTCTCCATTTTTCAGAGGTGCTGCGGTTAGATGTGGCTCAGAAAGCTTTAGAGATGGGTATTGAGTCCAGCGTGGTGGAGAAGACCATCTTGAAGAAAATAAGCAGCACAGGCTCTGGATACTCCACAGTGGAGGCGCTGGTCGAGGATTGCCTTAACGGAACAGCCGAGGACAATTCTGAGCAGACACAGGAGCAAGGTACAGCTGGTTACTTCATTTTTTTTCCTTTAGAAATGATTGTTTCATTATTCAAATGATCAATTAGATTTAATGGGATGTTTTTTATTAGAAATCTTCACGTGATTAAAGGATTTTGAAAAAATTCATCATAACTTACAACAGTGCAACAAAAATCTAAGACATGACATTTTACTTATTTTTCTTTCTTCAATCACGTATTTCAGACGAGGACCCACTCGAGAAACTACGGAAGCTGCAGAGGGAAAAGCAGTGCAAAATATGTATGGACAGAGATATTTGTATTGTGTTCATCCCGTGTGGTCACCTGGTCAGCTGCAAGCAGTGCTCCGAGGCACTCCTCAAGTGTCCCATCTGCTGTGGAGCTATAACACAGAAGATCAAGACCTATATCGCTTAAGGGAACCGCAGACTCTCCCCCCTGATAATGCTACTTTCTTTGTTGTAATTTAACATTACGTGTAATTTAGATGCCCTGTTATATATTACCAGACTGTGGTGTATATATTCATAGTAGAGTAAAATATTTGTTGAAATAAGCTTGATTTTACATTGAATGCGTTATTGAAAATCTGTCAATTATGACTTTGATTTTAGTGGATTTGTCGTACCTAATGATTTTCCAGCTCTGTCTTGCTAACTGACACTTGTAAATAAATTTTAAAGACAACTACTATTATGCAAAACACTTCTGTTTTTTGTTTTTTTTGCCAGCAGTGCCTTTTAAAGTTTTATGTACCCCAGCAACACCTACCTTTGATCGACAGGAGGGTTTCATGAATGAGTACTGGTTTTTATTTTATTTTTTTAATTTAATCCATAAACACTTTTATTTTAAATTCTATCAACTCCAATGTGAGGTGTCACATAATGTTACTATTTTCCCCTTCAATATTTTGTGTGATTAAAATCAATAAATCTTTAGAAATGACTTGGAACTGTGTTTCTTTGATTACTATTACGATTTTGAAATAAAACGCTTATCAGTTTAGCTTATTTTGGATGGTTTGGGTGTCCTTCTAAAAGATGATGAAATGTGTAATGAAATCCAGGTCTGCGATGTGTCTGGATTTAGATAATTCCACTTTAACTGGTTCATGAAAAGCAGCATCTGGGTAAATGATTTTACTGTACAAAGAATGCAAGGTGTACTACCTAAAACAATTATCACTTCCCAAACTACAATCTAAGGCTTCTTTTTTTTTCTGGTCAGCAAAACTTTTCAATTTAGCAAATCACCTCAAACGGGTTTCTTCGCCAGTTTGATAAATAAATAAAAAACAGAATTAACAGTGTCAAGATGCAGTACCGGTCTGCTACCACTAGATGTCAGGTGATCGGCATAAAGTGGCCGCTAGGTGGTAGCTCTGCACCAGGATTTCCTCCTCCCAGGTCGTCGAAACAACAAACCGAACTACGGAGCAAGCGGGGTGAGAGAACGTCCGAAACCGCCTCTGACCGCGACTTTTAAACTAATTTTTCTATTTTTTTAGCGGGATTAAGACAGTGGCCGTATAAGAATAGTAAAAGTTACAATCATATCGGGACTACAATTCACAACAAGGTAAGTTAGCCGTAAAATGGCGGAGAGCTATCTGGAACTTAGTTGATTTGTATTTTGCTAGCCGTCTCGCTAGCATGGCTAGCATTACAAGAGCCCTGAGCGCGGATGTCTGCCTGGAAAGAGTCGCTTCGCTAGCTCGCGGTACATAGCTACTTTGGTCGTTAGCAAGCTAGCGAACTAGAAATTTGGCACAGCTGCATAAAATATGCAGCTCACAACGTAAAGAAATATTTTATTATTCCAAATGATCAGCTTGCACTTTATATATTTGTAAACAAAGTGTTTGTTGCTTATGCAATACGGCACAGAAACTCCCGAGGCAAGATGGAGGACGCAAGGACGTGATGTTTTTTTAGGTAATGTTAGCAGTAGCTGTTAGCATTGTGAACTAGTGGGAGTTATTCTAAACTCGGAAAATAACATAACACCTATTGTTAATCGCTTTATAGTCGGCAAGTCTCTGCATGAGACTGGTATGCAGACAAAAGCTAGTTAATACAACTGGCTCCTTGTTGATTAGCGTCATTGTGTATTAGCTCATTTTAGCTCGTGCTAGTACAGTAGAGCTTGCGATGTTTTGTTGTCATGCTCTGAATACTGTAGAATGGGCAAACGATGTTGTGTGATCGAAATAAACTTCCAGTCGGTTGTAAGGGGTTTCCGCCTTGCTCTTCTAGCTATCCGTTATTTATTTCTTCCGTGTCGTGCATGCCTACTTCGTTAGAATTCAACTAGCTGACGTCGAGGAAAAGACGCCGAGATTCTCGGTTCCTTAGCTGGTGGCGCTAGCAGCAGCAAGGCACCGGTGTCAATTTTGACAGGAGCCGACGAAGAGCGTTGCCGTGTCGGCGTTGTTGGAGGGAAATGAGTCGATGGTCCGTGGGATAGTTGTTATCTGCAATTCACTCAGCTCGGCTTTGGCTTTTAATTTAATCTCAAACTGCGTCGTATCGCTTCGCTATTGCAACTTTATAAGATACACCGTCCGATTTGGCGCCACTTTTCAGTCTACACCCATAGATTCCTGTCGACTTGTCATCAGGGAAAGAGGCACGTAATTGCACAACCAACGAAATAATTTTGTAGAGATAAACATTTTGATAAACAGTGGACATTCCCCACGTTGTTGTTTTTTTTCAATTATCTGGCGTACACGTACTGCTCTCTGGAGATTGTGACAAAGATTGTCCTTTATTCGTAAAAACGTGGTATACCTGGGCCATCATTTACAGGATTTTATGTATTGTAGTTTATAGTTAGCCTAACATTCTGTTTGTATTTAGAAAAAGGTTGACTTGTTCACTTTTGCTAATTGCTCTTAGTATTGCGGACTGATTCGGTTGTATGTCAATGCTACGTTGAACAGGACTGAAGAGGACACACCGAGTGGTACGCGGTGCGTGGGGTTTATTTCCCATCTCAACATTGAACAGTTATCTGTGATTGCTTTGGTGGGCTTCCCGTGCTTTTGGAAATTAATTTGCATTCCTTTGAGTATCCAGCAGATTGAAATAAGTTGCATCTGCTCTCCACTTTGATGTATATATTAATTTACACATCAGAGCCACGCAGTGCTTTCCCTGTGGCCTGTATTATCTTGTTGATGTTGATACTAACTGGTGATTGGTTTATACGCGTACGGGGCGGATAGGGCACTACCATATTTGGACATTGAGGATGATACTCCGGTCTTGCTTGCATGACGATTCCTGAAAACCAAGGGAAGCCAAGAGAAAGGAGCCAATAGGAAAACAGCACGGGTGACAGTAGGGTTTGTGTTCACCCACTGTTACCATGTGAAACTTTTTTTCCCCTGTGCACAAACATCAAAGAAATATTGCTGATACCCACTGTGTTTACACTAATATACATCCATCAGGTTGTTTTCATAGGCTTTCATATGTATTTGGTCTTCTGAAATGTATTTGCATGAATAACTAAAATATTATGTTGCATTTCTAGGTCACATGCAACCTCCCCTGCCTTATATTTACTGAGAATCTCAAGTCAGTTGAAGTTATCCAGAAGATGTTACAGAAATGATAGCAGCACCAGAAATACCTTCAGAGTTCACCTACACTCAGTAAGTAAAGGCGTTCACGCTCTGTTTGCTTTTACTGTTGAGGTTAATATAAATGCCTAAAGGGTTATCCTTTTTTCCTTTTATCTACCAGCGACACAGATACCAGATTCTCCTCAGATACAGACTTCTCTGAGGATCCTGATGGAAGGGGTGCAAATACAGCGAAAGGAAAGGTAAAGAAAGTGCTGCTGGCTTTTGAAATTGGAAGAAATGATTATTGAAAAAAAACTACTTGTGACACGTGTTAACGTTATTTCTGTGCTCATGTTGCACAAGTTCTATTCAGTCATTTAAAAAAAAACAACAACGTTTTTTGCTTCTTTTTTTTTCAGGGGGGGAAGAAGGGGAAGAAAGCAGCAGGGGAGAAAGGCAAAGGAGGGAAGGGTGCTGGGCGACTAAATGGCCACCACCAAGAGAATGGCATGGAGAACATGATGCTGTTCGAGGTTGTGAAACTGGGAAGGAGTGCAATGCAGGTATGAGTTATAAATGGAAAGCTTTCAGATTAATACACCTTTTAAGACAAAATTATTCTTATGATGTTATTGTTTTTGTTTTTTTGCAGTCTGTTGTTGATGACTGGATCGAGTCTTACAAACACGACAGAGATGCCGCACTGCTAGATCTCATCAACTTTTTTATTCAGTGCTCAGGATGTAAAGGTACACTTGTGTCCTCGTTGGACATTTCAGTGTCTCATCTAAGTTTCTTTCTAAATTGCAACTCAAGTTTTCTTGGTCTCTTGATTTTTCTCTCTGTTGTGTTTATCAGGTGTGGTCAGTGGAGAAATGTTTCAAAACATGCAGAACTCTGAGATCATTAGACGAATGACAGAGGAATTCGATGAGGTAACATATTTCATTGGAGTGCTCCTCTCTGTGTTCACCATAAATCTCTTAGGGGCCATTTTAAATCCAATTTCTATGTCTGTTTAAAGTTTTTATTTTAGTTTTTTTTTCTTTTCTGCTGTTTAACAAAGTTCCCTCCTCTGTTTCGTCTGCAGGACAGCGGTGATTACCCTCTAACCATCGCTGGGCCCCAGTGGAAGAAGTTTAAATCCAGCTTTTGTGAATTCATTTCAGTGCTAGTGCGCCAGTGTCAATACAGTATCATCTATGATGATTACATGATGGACACAGTCATCTCCCTCCTGACTGGACTATCAGATTCCCAAGTCCGAGCCTTTAGACACACCTCCACACTGGCGGGTATGATAGCTTTCCTTCCAGCTGCGTGCGTTTTGATGTCAGTCTGAGTGAGCACAGTCTGAGGCACAAAAGAGGAATTTGATGATCTTTAAGGGAAAATGTTTGTTTCACAAATGGCTGTAATTGCCACTTGCAGGTGTTTTTTGTTGTCTTTTAACATATCGAGCCAAATTAAAATGTTTAATTTCGATGAAACTGTAAAATCAGGAAGCCTTTAAGCTGCAAATTATAATTTCCTGGCTAAAAGTGTGAGAGACACCTGGTGGGGGCAAGTAGTGAGGTCTACAGTAACCTGATGTCTACGGCAAACCCTCTGTTCCATTAAGTGCGCTTTAGGTTTTATGAAAGCACCGCTCACTCCAACAGGTGGGCGGTGTGAGCTGAAAACATGTGACCACATTTCTTTCTGCAGAAGGGTTTCCTTTTATTTATGTTTTGTTTTATGTGCAGGTTTTGGATGGCATGTTGGAGCTGGTTCATTATTTTAGATATTACTCACAACTTTCTGTATCTAATCCTAAATCCAAAAAGTGAATCGCAGCATACTTTAGTTTTCCATAATTGATTCTATATACGTATATCTAGAATAAAATGCCAACTAAATTTTGAGTGCAGTAATTCTGTAAACTTGTTAGAATTACGGGCTTCTGTTTTATGGTCCTGCATTTCCGCTCTCAATTTTCCGTTTTTGTTTGCTAAACAGCCATGAAGCTCATGACGGCCCTGGTGAATGTAGCTCTAAACCTGAGCATCAACATGGATAACACACAGCGGCAGTACGAGGCAGAGAGGAATAAGATAGTTGCTAAAAGGGCAAACGACAGGCTAGAGCTACTCCTGCAGAAACGCAAAGAGGTAAGTGGCCGCAGTTTTTTGCTTTTGCAAGTAATGCAGCAAGGCTTTGCATTTGAACCAGGCATGTTTACATGTTTGGGTTCTATCATTTTTAGAGAATTTTAAAGCTTTATTGAGCATTGGTTTAATTTTTTGTCTTAATGCAGATTTTCATTTACATATGGGATTAACTTTTTGGGGTAAACTCTTAATGCGGTGTTTTGTGTAAATTATACTGTATTATGCACTTTTTTCGTAGTTCTTAAAAGTCCATTGCTCTGTGTGTTCAGTAATAACATAATTTTATTTTAAAATAATAATTATATGATTTTGTATTTGATTTTTTTCCTTATATAATTATATAATAATTATTTCTTGATTTATGTTTTTTTTTTTCCCCCTTTTAAAAAGGTTTGTGTGCTGTCAGTGACAAAAGCCTGCAGGCTGTTATATTTTATTAACCTTTACTAGCTTACTGTAAGGACACTGTGGGACTCTGGTCCTAAATACTAAACACTGAGGTTAGATCATTAAGAATGGGAAGAATTTGGATATGTAGGGTTGATAATGTCAAACAGTCTCACCTACTAACAGTCGCTGAGCCATTTAATCATCAAACTGCTCTTTCCGTTTGGAAAAAATGTACTTTACTGAGTTCATATCCTTTGGAAGGTTTTGTGGCTGTGCGCAGCTGTGGGAAGTTGTGATTTCTCTTGGTCATGTTTCAGTTAAGAGGTTTGGTGGGCAACTAGGGACTGTCCCCCATCTTGGAGGTCTGGTGTGATTGTTAGCCTCATAAATTCATCTGTGGAGATGTGAGCACTGAGCCCCACAAATGACCCCACCTGCTACTCTGGCATTTTGTAGGAAGGTGCCTTTTGTGGTCAGCAAGGCAAGAAAAACCTTTAAAAGATGCAGTCCCTATATTTCTCAATGATAACTAACACAATGGGCATATCTTTACTTTCTTATTTGTCTTGAATTTTAAGAACATCTTTGGTTTTTCTCAAAGCTCATCTTACTTTATGGTAACATCAGGTCCGTCTGTCAGTTAAAGAGCTTCAACTAAGATAATACCCAGACACTTTGATACATACTGTCTGGAGCACATTCAGATATGTGGAACATTTATTTTGGATCTCACAAGTTAAAATCACAGGAATGCGGCAGACAGTTTCTAAACTTCTCTGTCATTGCTTACTTGTAAATGGCCCATTGTGTACTGTTGAGTTCGTCCCCTCTGCAGATGCATGGCAGCACAAAAAGCATCCTCATCTGTTCTGCATTTTGGAGAGAAACACCCATTTCCACTGCATACTTTCTCCATCCAGTGCTGCCTGCACACTCTAAGAGTCGAGGGCAACCATTCACCACAAATGTCTTTACAACAAAGCTTATGCCGTGATTGGATTTACAAAGCAAAAATGTTTATTTGAAAGCATTTGAGGCTGGAATCTTGGAATTTGTTAGAGATCTGAAATTCAACCTTGTTTGCTCAACCGGGACTAATATTTGTGCCAGAACATAACAGCTCTAAGATTTTCCAAATTGATCCTGCTGTTGGATAATTACCTTTTGCATGTCACTTTTTAAAATTGATTATAGATTTACCCCTGGCTCTGCCTTTTTAAACATTTTTTCCATTTATTTATTTTATTTACTCTGTTCAAGCACTATGCATTTATGAGTTTCTTTTTTAGGAGTAACAACTGCAGCACCTCTGTAGGTGGTGCACCTGCACTGCTGAGTGTTATTCAGCTAGCATCATCTTTTGGTTATGTAACAGCAGGTACAGCCAAGTGTCCATCTGTCAGGGCAGCGTGCTGCCACACCTCAGCTTGGCGGAGTAGTAGGCTGTCACACGTTTTGTTAACGGAACCTTCTTCTCACATCTTACTGCCAGCTAGGCTGTGAACACTTTGATCAATTAGCTGCACTCATCCTCTCTATCCTGTGCCTTTTCTTTTTCCAGCTCCAAGAAAATCAGGATGAGATTGAAAACATGATGAATGCAATTTTCAAAGGAGTTTTTGTTCACCGATATCGGTAAGATCCACATTACGACGAATTTAAAAAGACAAATTTGTTCCTTCTCGTATTTTGCTAAACACGCAATGACACTGTCTCGACAGTGATTCGATAGCAGAAATCAGGGCAATTTGTATAGAGGAGATTGGAGTGTGGATGAAACTCTACAGCGATGCCTTCCTCAACGACAGCTATCTGAAGTACGTGGGGTGGACCATGCACGATAAGGTATGGCATTAGAACATTTCTTTCTGTTTTGTGTAGTGCCTTTAAAAACTCTTTGTTCAATCTTGGTCTGACATATCGCTCACTTCCTGTTGTTGCAGTTATAGCTTCAGTCTCCATCAGTCCTGTAATTGCTCAATTCCCCATTGAACTGTGCCAAGAGCCCGTCTGATCGAATGTTTAATCAGACCTAATAAGCGGGTTTGCTGGGCTAATAACGGTGCAGTCAGTGACTCGGTTGTAAACACTGAATTCATCACTCACAGCGTCTGCAATATCCGAATTGATTAACATGTTTACAAGGAAAGCGTAGATTGAAAACAGGCAATACTGGATGTTAGAGTTGTGTTTTAAGGGTAATTTGTACTTTACCGACTCAAGCTAAACAATTTCTACATGAAACAGATTGTGAGAGTTTTTGTTCAAACTATTCCCGAAAGCTCAAATTGATTTAAAAACCTGTCCATCTGCCAATTGTCTTGGTAACCATTGTGTCTTTGTAATGTGATTCCAGCAAGGCGAGGTACGTCTGAAGTGTCTGACAGCTCTCCAGGGCCTGTACTACAACAGAGAGCTCAATGCAAGACTGGAGCTCTTCACTAGTCGCTTTAAGGTCAGCCCCACCTGCTGGACAGCAGAAAAACAGCATCTCCACATTTTCATTTCCATTGTGATGCTTCTAATGAACAAAGAATGAGAGAATTCCATTTGTTATTGACCAAATGACTCTTCTCCTCTTCTCAGGACCGAATTGTGTCCATGACTCTTGACAAAGAGTATGATGTGGCAGTACAAGCTATTAAACTGCTCACCTTAGTCCTGAAGTAAGTGTCTGTTTCTGGTTGCACATGATCAGTTTTTTTGCATGTTGTCATTACAACCATGGCTTTTTTTTTATGAAGAGTTTCTCCTAATGAAATGGCACATCTTTGCTAAATCTTTGTTTGTCTCTGTAGTAGTACAGATGAAGTCTTGACCCCAGAGGACTGTGAAAGTGTCTATCACCTGGTCTACTCGGCACACAGGCCTGTTGCAATAGCGGCCGGAGAATTTCTATACAAAAAGTATGTTGCAATTTATTTATTTTTTTATTCTTATTTTGTCCAGGTCATTAAAGGTGTAACAGTTTAAGTTGAAGAATTTTGATTCTGTTTTCTGCTTAATTGAGAAGTTTGCTGTTAGTCAAACAGTGCATCTTTCCAGCACAGTGCTGTGCAGTAGGATGTTTGCACACATTTAACTATAAATATTCTCAAAGACTGTTCAGCCAACGGGAACCAGAGGAGGAAGGTGCCCCCAAAAGGAGAGGCAGACAAAGCCCCAACGCCAACCTCATTAAGACCACTGTCTTTTTCTTCCTTGAGAGTGAGGTACTGTCATTCTCACGTCTCCTCAGCATGCCTCTCTTCAGCCATTCTACTCCATGTAAGTCGATCGTCTGAATTTAATTTGTCTGAACGCCTCTCTTTTAGCTCCACGAGCATGCAGCCTATCTCGTGGACTCCCTCTGGGAATGTGGTGCAGAGCTACTGAAAGACTGGGAGTGTATGATCAGCCTACTGCTAGATGACCCCTTACCAGGAGAAGAAGGTAAGGCACCACCTTTCCCCAAATTCTAGTAGAGCTCTCCTCTGATTTGGCTGTTCAGTGTACTGGGTGTAAGAGCAGGGAGGATCCTTCCTCAAGCTTCTCTGGTAATTTGACTCCCCATGGCTTTTACTTTGTATTGATTTGTTCTAATTCCTCAAAAACTATTAAGCTGGATTGAATGCAATTCACGTGTTGTTGTTTTTTGTGTGTGTTTCACTTTATTTATGTTTTTGTCTTTGTTTGTTTTTTTTTAGCTCTAACCGACAGACAAGAGACAGCTTTGATTGAAATCATGCTGTGCACTGTGCGCCAGGCAGCTGAATGCCACCCACCTGTGGGAAGAGGAACAGGCAAGAGGGTAAGAGAGCCCAACACATATCGACTAGCGAATTAAATTCGGTTAGAGGGTAAATCCATTTGTTCCCTCTCCAACTGCCTGAGATTGCTGTGTTGCTTTGGGTGAACTTGGGTCAGTTCAAACAGAATCTGTTTGGCACGCTGCTTTTCAGAAAATGTGTCTTTACACGACTGTTTAAGCCATCTGAAAGGCTAGTATATTATTTGGTTCTTTGGCCGTTGAACAAGATGTTCTTTTAAAGTAGTCTCAAATGTCTACCGCATGTCTATTTGTTAGATTTAAATCAAATAAAGTGGTATTACAGTAAACCCTTTCAGATGTGTAGAATAAAAAAATAATGTTGTGAATACATACTAATTGTGTGGACAATCATATTTTCTGCATCACACAATCAGGTAATGACGGCTAAGGAGAAGAAAACTCAGCTGGATGACAGAACCAGAATGACTGAGCTGTTTGCGGTGGCTTTGCCCCCTCTACTGGCCAAGGTGAGTTTCAGCCTCCCCACATTTTGGCCTAACGGTGTTTCCCAGATTTGTACCTCCATGGAAAAACACGTTTGACGTTTGTTCCACAGTACGCCATTGACGCAGAAAAGGTGACAAACTTGTTACAGCTGCCGCAGTTCTTTGACTTGGAGATTTATACCACGGGACGTCTGGAGAAGGTAAGACTGCTGGCGGAAGTCAAATAAAGCAGAACTGAATCCGCTCACTAACGATCATCGACCTTAATGGTTTGCGGGGAGTTGACACAAATGACGAGGATCTGTGTATCTCTCCCCTCCAGCATCTCGAAGCCCTGCTGCGTCAGATCAAAGAAATAGTGGAGAAGCACACAGACACTGAAGTCTTGGAGTCCTGCTCTAAAACGTACCATGCCCTCTGCAATGAGGAGTTCACGATCTTTAACAGGGTCGACATAGCCCGCTCTCAGCTCCTGGATGAGCTTGTGGACAAATTCACCAGTCTACTGGAGGACTTTCTACAAGAGGTAAGAAGTCGCCCCATTCATAGTTTTACCGTATGAGTTGTCTGCTTTTAAAGATTTCTGAAGTGGCGCCCCATATCTTCCCAGAAAGTCTAATTAGGTCCTTATGAAAAGAGCAATGACGGTTTCTTTTCAGGGGGAAGACGCAGACGAAGATGATGCCTATCAGGTTTTGTCGACTCTGAAGAGGATCACCGCATTTCACAAGTATGAGCTCATGTGTCTTTTAGGAGGCACCTATCGTATCATAAAGCCCCCCCCCCCCCTTGAGTCCTGTTATTCCTTAAATTTGCCATTCACTTTAACAATCCTGTCGCAGTGCGCACGACCTCTCGGGGTGGGACCTCTTCACCAGCAACTTCAAGCTGCTCAACACGGGCATTGAGAACGGAGACATGCCCGAGCAGGTACGTAGACATACACATATTTATTTTCTCCAACAGCCTGTGAATGCAGCACATTTGAACCCCCCGCTTCTGTCCACATCTTCTGAGCAGATAGTCATCCATTCGCTGCAGTGTACCCACTACGTGATCCTGTGGCAGCTGGCCAAGTTATCTGAGGGCAGCTCCAGAAAGGTGAGGCCTGTTGTGAACCGAAACAACAAGTGCTGTTAACAAAGCGTATTTTTCTTTCTTTAAAAAAGAACATATGGTTAAAACATTTTTATTTGCCACCAGGACGATATGGTGACCCTGAGGAAGCAGATGAGGGCGTTCTGCATGATGTGCCAGCGCTACCTCACCAACGTCAACACCGGCGTCAAAGAACAGGTGACACGAACAGGAAAACAAGAATCTGTACATTGCACGAGTAGTAAATGCAGCGTCACTGCTAAGATGAAGAAGTATACAGAGTGTAAAGTGAGGAACATTATCAAATAGCCATATGAAAACCTCCAAATGTTCACAGCAGCTGACAGGCAGCCAGATCACTTGGACCACTTGGTTTTTCGCACGTGGTTTCTTTGTGTCTTTTTCATTCATCAAATCATTTTAGATTTAACCATCTGTATCTGAAAAACATGAAGATTCTTTATTTTGTTGTCTTTTTAAATCAGTATGCTTTGTACAGAATAATTAATGTACGTCTCATGCACACAGTTTTAACATGTGGCTTCTTTTTCCTTTCCCTCCCACAGGCATTCACCATCCTGTGTGATCTTCTGCTCATATTCAGCCACCAGATGGTGTCTGGAGGCAGGGAACACCTGGAGCCGCTGGTCTACTCCCCAGAGGACTCTTTACAGTCGGAGCTGCTCTCCTTCATCCTGAACCATGTCTTCATAGACCAGGACGATGACACAAATAGCACAGGTACTTAAAAAAAAAAAAAAAAATTTTTTTTTTTTTTCCCCCCTGCATCTCAGCCTGTGTTGATGAGCAAATAAAGGTTGACACTCTGTTTATTTTATTTTTTTGTGTGATCCCAGATGGGCAACAAGATGACGAGGCTGTGAAGATTGAAGCTCTGCACAAGAGGAGAAATCTCCTTGCTGCCTACTGTAAACTCATTATCTACTGTGTGGTAGAAATGAAGACGGGAGCCGACATCTTCAAGCAGTACATGAGGGCAAGTCTCATCATTTCAATTAGGGGGGGGCGCTCAAGAGGTTCTTGAACTTATTTAAAATGTTAAGAAAAGCTTTATACGTGGGTTTAAAAAATAAATCCATCTATTAGGACTTGCTTTGTTCTCAACCTACCAATGTTTTTATCTACAGTACTACAATGATTACGGTGACATAATCAAGGAGACTATGAGTAAGACTCGGCAAATTGACAAGATTCAGTGTGCCAAGACGCTCATCCTCAGTCTGCAGCAGGTCAGTGGACACATGCGCGCTCGCTCGTTTGTCCACATGTTCTGAGCAACTGATCGTTTGTTCTGTCTCACCCTCGGTGTTTCTCTTCATGCCAGCTGTTTAATGAAATGCTGTCTGAGCTGGGTCACGGGTTCGATCGCTCCTCCTCTGCATTCTGTGGAATCAAAGAGTTGGCCCGTCGTTTTTCTCTCACCTTCGGCCTCGACCAAGTGAAAACAAGAGATGCCATTGCTATGCTGCACAAGTAAGGCCTCGTCCTGTCCTTTTGCTGTTTGCATTCCAATTCTACCTTTTCCTTTTCTTTTTTTTTCTTCTTTGGCCGCATACGTGGGAGCTGTCACAGTAGACAAATGACTCCTTTAACGCTAAACTTCCTTTAGCCATGCGTGTTTTTTTGTTTTTTTTCCCCTCTGGATTTTCTAGTGGCTTAAATGATGAAATGCTGCATTTCAGCCAATTCCCATCCACTTACAGTTCAGTAGAACGGCATGTAAAAACAGAGCAGCTGTCAGACAGACGAAACGGTGCTGTGCAAACAAACTGCCATGTTCAATAGTCTGTGCACTTAAGTTATGTCGTAATCACAGGATCTGCACAAGGTGTTCTTTGTGCTCTCGTGTAACAAAGTGAGTTTTTTTTCTTCTTTTTTAATAGTGTTGGTTTTTAGTTTTCCACTTCTTTTTCCAAACCGTAACACTTTGGAAGACATATGGACTGTTAAGCAGAGCACAACAAAATCACAGGAGCTTTGGGGCATTAGATTCTAGTCACACAGGTATCTGGGAAGACGGGCCAAGTTTCCACTTTTCATATGTCAGCATTTGCCGTTTAGGGAGCTAAGTAATGGTATGCACACTGAGCAGCAGGTTTTTAAGCAAAAAAACAAAAAGGCTGAAAATTGTTCTGATGTAACGGAGCAATTTTCTTGCAGATTACAACATTATAGCAGACAGCTAGGTGTAGTGAAGTAGAACAGAATAAATCTGTCCAGATGTGTACTGTATTTAAGATTAAGATAATGAGTTTAAATTCAATTCAGTTTAATTGCTCCTTATTAAGACTCTGTTCTCTTTTAGGGATAGTAGCATTTAAGAACTCGTTCAGATTATCAAAGTTTAATTTGAATGACCGCAATCAGGTGCCTTTATAAATGATTTTTATACAACTACAAAGGAATCCACTCCAGGCCCATTGGGTGGTTTTTGAATAGATATGGTTCACAATGTCTGTTCATAACATCTTTCTCTCTATACCTCTTCAGAGATGGTATCGAGTTTGCTTTTAAGGACCCCAGTCCTCAGGGAGAAGGTGGCCCTCCCCTCAACCTGGCCTTCCTGGACATCCTCAGCGAGTTCTCCTCCAAACTTATGAGACAAGACAAGAGGACTGTGTAAGCATGGCTTTCCTTTCTGTGTGCTTCCTGGAGCTTTTTACCAGAATGCTGTGACTCCTCAGTGACACATATTTATCCCAGTTTCTCCTTCACGTGTAATAATCGGCTCTGTTTGCCGTCCTTCTTGTCATCAGCCACATGTACCTGGAGCGCTTCATGACGTTCCAGATGGCCCTGCAGCGAGAGGACTGCTGGCTTCCCCTCATCTCCTACAGGAATTCCTTGCAGGCTGGTGGTGACGATGACACTATGTCTGTGATGAGTGGCTACTCCAGCAGAGGCTCTTCTGTTCGCTCCAAGAAGACCAAGCCTCCCATGGTCACAGCTGGAACTTCAACAGCTAAGAGGAAGCTGCCAGAGGGTATTTCATCTATTCATCGATGATGTTTAATTACATCTTTTTAAAAGTTGTATTCTCTGCTGGGGTTTCTGGGAAGCATGTTCATGTATTTCCGCTCCTCCCTTCCAGAGGAGAGCAGCAGCGGGGAGGTGTGGCAGCAAAGCATGCCGACTCCAGTCATGATGCCTTCCCCTCATCTCACCTCCACTGCCATGCGAGACCCCAAGAGGAGTCGTGACGACAGCTACATGGGGGTCTACCCCCTCCCCCATGACCAGCAGCAGCCCCACCAACACCCACAGCACCATCAACAGACGCCTCAGCACCACCAGACACCCATGGATTACAAGTGAGCGCACCCCATCGGGGCATTCCTTAACCGCTCCACTTAGTTTAGCAATATACTTTTAACAGGGGTCACAGTTCGGAGCGTATAAGTTTTAGTTTACAGCTTTAGTCTGCAGGACTCCACAGACATAAAATGTAGAATGCACCTCAAAACAGGCGTCAGCGGGGTAAGCGTACGCGCCAGTGCTGCTTTACTTTGGATCTACAGCACGTAGACCAAAGTTTCATCCATCAGTTACTGCATGCTCATTTCCATCCAATGTAAATATGAGGGGGCTTTAATTAATGTGTCATTAGATCCCGCTTTCTGGGCTTTTGCACCAGTTGCCAAATAAATCAGGCAGTTGAGTTGTTAATGAGAGTGCTGAGCTGGATCCAGGAACCAAACTAACCCCAGCATCATCAGTCCCGGTCATTTTCTTCAGGCTGCATTTGGCACTTCGCAGTGAAAAGGGGCAACTTATCAAACGTGGGGACAGTGAGCACTTTAATCTTTCCAAAAATTCTGATCTAAGAGGGTTGGGGGTTTGTTACCAGGCAGCTGATTTATTCCAGAGAACATTGTTTTACTGAGGAAGAATGCAGCTTTACTTCCCCATTTGAAACGGTGACCAGCACAAACATTGTTAATCCTTACACCTGGAGACGCCTTATTGAGTACTTTAGTCACTGGTGTCAGTCTGCTAGAATCGGTTAATGTCATCTTCAGCTTTAGTCCACATCAAAGGTTTCCCAAAACCTTTCTCTTCAAAAACAAAGGAAGGAAAAAGCACAACTGGTGATGGTTAGAATTTGACAGCATGTTTGCTGGCTTGTTAATTATTCTCCCTGCCCCTTCTTTTTTTTTTTTTTTTTTTACAAAGGCCTGGGGAGGTTTTAGGATTTAGCTGGTGCGTCCTCTCTCAGGGGGCCCTGCCCTCTCCCTGAGTTATTGCTTCCCCCAGAGTTAAGAGGGGTTGATGAGATCGGGTATGGCACTGTACCACAAACATCCACCCCTGGGTCTGGAAGGAGTGACGGCCTCACTCCTGAATAAAACGCAGGCTCATTCTTTATCACTCAATGCTTCCAAAAACAAGAAATCCAGATAGTAATTTAAGGGGTCAAACAATGGAATTTCCTGTTGCTGATGTGTTGTTTTTTGTTCATCAGAAAATCTGCAAACATCCTGACCGGTTTATTTGGCTTGCAGCAGAGACGTGCTCCGTTTAGCTTGTTGTAATAAAGTCATGCAGGGCTAATGGTGGCTAACGGTCTTCGGGGTAAACATCATACAGAAGTAGCCCAGAGACGCGTGCTCACCGCACTGCTGTCCCACCGTGAACGTGTTCCTCCGCTCTGCTGTCCTGACCCAGAATTTCCATATCCATGTTGAGGCAACCTAATCCCTCTAACCACAAGGTTTTATTAATATGTCCAGGCTCAGTTCCAGGCACATGATTCAGTTCAGTGGATCACTTATTTGCTGAGAATGGGATCCAAATGGTTTGAGCCAAAATACATCAGGACAGGGTTCAGTGTAATTTCCCATTTGCATGCTTTTAATTTTGAGGGCAAATGGCTGCAAAATGTTTGTACTGCACCGCCTGCCAAGTGTTGGCTCTACTGGGAGAGTGACCCACTAGTTTATTTATCCTCTTTTACTTTTCACAGGCGGCAGGCCAGTGGGAAATTTGGTTGTATTTGACATCTCTAATTTCTGGCTGGTTAATGTGTCCAGTGGAAACAGCAGGGAACATGTGGACTTAAAAAAAAAAAAACATCTAATTAATTTGCTGATGGTTCTACAGTTCCCAGGTGACGTGGATGCTGGCCCAGAGACAGCAAGAAGAGGCACGCCAGCAACAAGAAAGAGCCATGAACTACGCCAAGCTCAGGACCAATCTGCAGCACGCTATGTAAGACACACACACACACACACACACGCGCCTGCACAGAGCAGCCATGTGCAAACACACCCGCAGTCCCACTGAGTTTATTCGATCATGCTTCGCTCAGCAGCCGCCGCGGCACCGGGCTCATGGAGGAGGACGAGGAGCCCATTGTGGAGGATGTCATGATGTCGTCCGAGGGTCGCATGGACGACCTCAACGAAGGCATGGACTTTGACACCATGGACATCGATCTGGTAAGAGCCCTGACCTGTCCCGGCCCGTCGGCGGAGTGTTTGTTTTGCTGTGCACCCCTGAAACGGTGTCCAAGGATTAGAAATGGATTTGAGCATTACACATTTTGTCGCACACAATACACACGGCATCTGTCGGTTGACCTGAAGGCGACGACCATCTCAACGCTCCGTCCTGCCGCCGAAAAGCCGCAGGTTTTTTTTTCTGGACATTTCCGTTGCATTGCATTCAATTGGACCTCTTCCTCCTCAATTTGCATCCCGTTTCCTTTACTTTATCAGTTTTTGTATAAGCAACAAGCAGCATCTCTGGTATAGGTCTGTGTATCTCAGTGAAACCACTATAAATGTCTGGTTTTGCAGGCAGCATATAGAGACTCTATTTGATCCACCGCTGTTTCATTAGCATAACTGGGGAAGTTGCTGCTTGTTGGACTCAGATTTTGTGCGGCAGTTTGCCAATACACAGGTATTTCACCATTCCTACTAAACCCTGAGAGCCAAGTGTAATTACTTCAATGCCATAATTAAATTTAAACCAGGGCAAATAGTAGTTTTGGGTGTGGGTGCTGGATTTAGTCCATGAAACGAGCTCCAGTTGTCCTGAAACATTGCATTGACCTAGAAGCTGCAAATATTTTTTGGTGTTCTTTTCTTGTTAAAAGTCCTTTTTTTTTCGAGTGTCTATGTGCGAGTCTTCAGAGGAGTATCCTTGAATGTGATTTTTTAAATTTATTTTCTAAACTTTGGTGGTTTTCCTTCGTCAGCCACCTTCCAAGAACCGGCGTGAGAGATCTGAGCTAAAGCCAGACTACTTTGACCCTGCTTCTATCATGGACGAATCGGTAAGAACAGTAAAGCTTATTCAGCCGTTCTGTCGTAGAAGTAGTGATAAGTCCATCTGAACAGCTTGTTACCAAGCGTAACATTACTTGTTGGTCACAGATCGATGATAAACGTTTGTTTAAACACAGCTGTAAGAACCTGAGGTCTTGTTCTAAAAGTGGAATCGCATTTGTGTCCCAAGTCCACTGAATGCAAACTAATAATTTAAAGTTGTACCATGTAGTCAGTCTGTTTATACTCTGATACAGTCTATACAATACAGATACAGTCAGACCCAGTTTTTAGATGATTAACTCTTTCTTTGTTCTCCCAGGTCCTCGGGGTGTCCATGTTTTAAGCTAATATCCAGATGATTTTGACGCGGGGATGACAGAAGAGGCGCTTTGTATTTAAAGAGAATTTTAGATGCGAAAAAACAGAAGTGTTTCTGTAAGAAAAAGTAAAAATAAAACAAAAAAAATTTCCAACTTGTACTCCACGTGGACCAATGACAACCCACACTCAGTGTTGCTTGCTCAGAGAGGACTTTGTTTGAAAAAAAAAAAATTTTACTTTTATAATCTTGGGTAAGCTCTTCCTGTTCAAAATAGTGCTACAGGCCACTTCCAAAACCTATTAGGAACCAGACGTGTCTGAAGAAAAGAAAAATCAATAGCTTCCCCCCCCCCCCCCCCTCTTTTTTTTTTTTCTTTCTTCTTTTTTTTTTAAACGGGGATGAATCGGTGTGTTTAACTTAAGAAACGTATTTTTTCTCTTTTTTTTCTTTTTTTTTTTTTTTGTTCGTCTAACTCTTTTTACAACTGTAGTAAGTTACCAGGTGTGAAGTAGTAATTTATAAACGAACTGTAGTAGCTTGCTTGTACTGTGTTAGCCAAGTGGATGGAGGTCTTTCTGTTTTCTTTTATCTTTCACTGTTTCTCTGTTTGTTTTTTTCCTCCCTCTTATCTCTTCAGTTCTTTCTCCCTGTTGTTTGGCCTGAGCTGAGGCCCCCCCCCACCCCCCGATAACCACTGGTGGTTAAGATTTCTGAGATGTCACATAGAATCGGTGTAGATCCCTTTTATGCTGTGAAAATTCCTCAAGTCCCCATTTATGTTCCGCTCTATGAAACGGTATGTCCCAGAGCCAGCTCCAAGATTTGGATCACTCCTTAAGCATCTTCTAGAAGAATGCCCCCCCCCCCCCCCCCCCACTCTTAAGGACGAGCACAGCTTTATAGTCCAGTAATATTCCTCTGGATGAAAGCGGCTCAAAGAAAAATGCCACCTTATTTTATTTTGACCACCCCCCCACGCCCTTTAAAACCCTACAGTTTAACGTTAAAATGAGTATCTACATTTAAAATAAAGTTATATATGAATTGGTGCTGATTTTATATATGTGATTTTTTGTTTTGATTTTTTTCTTATTTTCAATCTTCAGTCACAAAGTTTGAGAGACGTGTAAGTAAAACTACAAAACAGAAAAAAATAATGATAATAATAATGAAAGCATGTGAAAGTCATGCATCAAGGAAGATTTTTAAATTTGTATTTTTATGTTTATTTTTTTTCCTTTTTTCTTTTTGTCTTGATAACGTCTTTGAATTTCTACCTTTTTTCCTACATGTAAATTAGTTTGGATAAAACTAATGGAAAAAAAAAAAGATGACTTGTGAAATTCAGCTTTAAGGTTTTTCTCAACGCGGAAAAAATAAAAAGTCCTGTCACAAAATACTTCTAGATTTCAAGTGTTCAGACTGTACGGTAGTTCAATTCTGACAGTACTGAAGAGGAATTATTCAGCAGCGCTGTGGCAGCTAGACAAAGCTTAGATTTTGACATATATTTGTCACACAAGTTTTAATGAAATGTTTTGTCTACTGAGGTCTTTATTTTGTAGTCATTCCATGCTTAAGCCTTAAACATGCTTGTGGAGGTCACCTTTCGTCACAGTAATCTTCCATGTCCGAGGTGGATAATTGGCTTCTTAGAACATGAAATATGAGGTGGTCATATGTAATGTGATAAAGTAGATAAACAGCCTATATGTGTTTTTTGCCTAATTATTTTATGTAAGTAAAAAAAAGAAAAAAAAGAAAATTCTTTTAAGGAAAAAGTACTGTTTATTGTTTGTTACTTACCACTACATCGGTATAAATTCTTATTAGATCATGTGTATATATACAAAATTTAATTTCTTTCCTTTTTTTGACCATTTCTGTGTTTTGGTTTTTATTTTCAGTTTTTTTTCTGCACTCTTGCCTACTCTGAGTTAATGTCTATTATCCCATCCTCTTTCAGTCACTCTGTTTTCTGATTTGTACTTGTCTGGAGACAGTAACTTTTGAATAAAAATCAACACATTTCAACTGTGGTACTTTATTTTTTTTTCCCTTTTTTAAATTTTTTTTTTTTTTACACACATTTTTGACTCCTAGCAAAAGCAGGCGTTGTGTCTCCATTCTCTCTCTGGACACATGGAGGCAGCATTCCCCCACCCAGCCTCCTCCACATGGCTTCACCCTCACACACACACACACTGTCACTCACACACAAATCTTCTTCCATATGTGGAAAATGTGTGTTTTCATACGCTGGACCTCAATGCGCGCATTTTTACATTTATTATCAAAGCACCTTTTAGCAAGAGTACGGCTTTGTTGTGTGCAGGCTGCACCACATTTCCTTTTCTTTCTTTTTTTTTGGTGATAAAAGTAAGCATATGAGATGGCTGGGAAAAAAAAATAAAAAAAAGGATGAAAGCTGCACAGACTTCTGATTTAAGTGCATGACTAATACAGATCAATGCGGGGCGCATCAGAGCGGGGCCTGCCAGAGAGCCCTCTTCATGTCCGGCCCCCTCGCACATGAAGGGGGCTCATCCGTCCCCGCGTCTGCCCGCCTGTCGCACGCCGGCCCGTCAGAACAGAGGGGGCGGGGGTGGGGGGGGGGGGGGGGGAGCAGCCGTTTGATTGGCTTCAGAGCTGTCAGCCCCTCGTCTGGGACGGGGGTGCTGGCAGGAGACGACCAAAGAGAGTTTTTGAGCAGTACGCGAAAACTCTGGATTTCTCAAAAGTCATCTCGTGGTTTCTGGCGGTTTTCCCCGCCGGCCGGCTCCGGTTTGACCCGTGCAGCAGGGGTCAGGGCTGCTGGCCTTTAAATCTGGGCTCGTTTTTTTCTTTTGGGCTCGTAGTTTGTGTTTACCTCAGATAACCCGGAAGGCCTCGCGGGCTCTATCAGATTGAGCTTGTGTGGAGACCTCAGAGGGGGTCAAGGCGGGCTGGGAGCAGGGGTCCACGTGTCCGTGTCCGTGCGCGTGCAACGGGCAGCTCGCCGGACGGGCCGGAGCTGATAAATTGTGGTCGTCCGAAAAGCGCTTGCGTTTCGATCTCAGTACGATTTTTCTAATAACTGATTAGGACAGGCTGAATACCTGCTGAATGGGGAGTAGGGGAGTGTGTGGGGTGGGGGGGGGGGACCTGTCCTGATAATACTGGGGATTAATCATTGATGAGCGCATCGGTTGTAATCTCCGCGCCGACCCTGGAAAATCATTTACCGTGTGACCCAGCCCGGATTAGAAACAGACCGAGCGGCCTGCGAACCCTCCGGCGCTCGCCCCCTAATGTCAGCGTCACTTTAAAGAGAATAAAATATAAAAAAACTGATATTCCTGGCAGCCATATGGAGACGGACTCATTCCTGGATCGGGAGCAGACGCTCTGTGGGCTGTGATAGAGATGTCAAGGTGAAGGGGAGATGAGACGAAGCCTGAATGGCCTCCATTATGAGGAGCAGGTTTCAGGAGACGGGCCCGAACAGGTCAGAGATTCTAGGGCTATGAATAGGTCGCCGTGGGAACCGGCTGCCTGCCTCCTGTCGGTTTCTCCTGCGTATTGACACACGGGCCGGGCGGCTAAAGGTACGCTGAGTGAGAGGAACGAGTGACGGGGCCATTGTTCTCTGGGTGGGGTGGTGGACAGGAGCAAGAGGATTAGCCTCCCTTTTGGCACCGATGGTCGGCGGCGTGGAGGGAATCTGTCATCGGCAGAGCCGCAGGTGGTCCCGGGGGCCTGAGCGGGGGGGGGGGGGGGGGGGCATCCGACCCCGGCGAGCGAGAAAACAAGAGCGGGTTTTTCAGCGGGGGCCGTGTTTACCCTGGAATCCGATTCTCCCCACCTTCTCCGCCTCTTTGTTGTGCGGCCACTTTCGCTGGTCCCGACGGGCTGAGCTCTGCACAGCAGAATAACAGAGGAGGTGGGGGGGGTGGTGGGGGGGGACAAGATTATGGCTTTTCAATTAGATGGAGGCTCTGGAAAACGTTCCTGCTCCTCCTTTGCTTGCCCCCCCCCCTTCCGGCCCTTGAAGGCCCGTTCAAAGGTGACCCCGGCGTGACTGGAGGGATTTCTGGGCCGAGCCAGCCCCGCTAAATCACACGTCGCCGTAAAGTTTGGGATGAGCGTCTCGTAAGGGCGTGATGGGACAGGCCTCGTAAAGATGACGGAGAGCCCCGCGCGTCGCCGGCCCCTGCCAGGAAACCCCGGTGATGAACGAGGGCCAGGAGACCTCCTCTAATAAGACTCATCTCTTTAATTGGCTCCATGATAACGGCCCAGGGTGTGTCCCTGTGCATTCCTTCTTTTTTTTTCCCCCCCTCAGATCTCTGAGGAACGGAGTAGCCTCTCCCTGCAGTCTGTAGGACGCCTCGGTTGGATATCCACCTCCTCCCACATCCAAGTCGGCCATTTTGATTAGGTCATACGACTAGCATACGAAATAGGAAGACAAACGATGTCCTAACCCTGACCCTAACCCTAACCCTGACCCTAAACCCTGACCCTAACCCTAACCCTAACCCTAAACCCTGACCCTATCCCTGACCCTAACCATAAACCCTAACCCCTAACCCAGACCCTAAATCCTAACCCCAAACCCTAACCCTAATCCTGACTCTTAAACCTAAACCCTAACCCTAACCCTGACCCTAACCCTAACCCTAACCCTCCACCCTTCATAATTGTGAGAAATAAATATTATTTGGTTAAACTAGTTTGGACCTATTGTACAAACCTATTTAACATACACTATATTTACCTAATATTACTAATAGAGTTTAATTCAGGAGTTTGCATGTTCTCCCTGTGTCTGCGTGGGTTTTCTCCGGGTTCTCCGGCTTCCTCCCACAGTCCAAAAAACCTGCATGTTAGGTTGATTGGACATTCCAGATTGCCCTCAGGAGTGAATGTGAGTGGTTGTTTGTCCTTGTGTGTCTCTGTGCACCCCTGCGATGGACTGGTGGACTGTCCAGGGTGTACCCCGCCTTTCGTCCATTGACCACTGGGATAGGCTCCACATTTCCCCAAGACCCCATTAGGGAATAAGCGGTAACGATAAAGGAAGGATGTCTATATTGCCATGAAGCAATTCTGATGTTCCAATTTCCTATCTTCCTATTGTTGACGTAATCAAAATGGCCGACTTGGATATCCATCCTTGGCTTTCCTGCAGTCTGCGGCGAGATGTACTGGCGTGTAGGCGGCGGGTGTCGGGGCGCGTGGGCGTGCGGCTCGGGCCCGCGCCTGCTGCTCGGCTTTTCGCACGTCCTCTGTGTTCCGAGAAAAGACGAGGAGCCCGTCTAAAGCCGGCCGAGATTTAACACCTCAGCCGGTAATAATAAGAATAATATTCAATCTGTTCCCGGGTCTTCCAGCGCGCTCGCTCAGAGGAGGGGGGCTTAGGTGGTGTGAGGGGGGGGG